CTATTCCCCAACCAACTGGTGATGCCAGGAATCCATCCATGATCCTTAGGAGCAGTTGGCACTGCGCATTAGCCTCCTAGCGGGTTGAGGCACGAAGCTTCCATGCAACACTTAACTGCTGGAACTACAGTCTGTTGAAAAGCTAAATGAATTTTGGCAAAGCAACAATAAAATCCACATGGCAATAACAATTTTGTGATTCAAAAGAGCCTGCAAACAACCCTCAGTGTGGAGAGTGTATGCGAAGGACTAGGACAAACTGCACTTTAATCTGCTAAGGAAAACGTTATCTGCCTTAGCTTGTTACCAGGTGACTAATGAAACACTTTTCCCTCTGATGAAATGCAGCTACTCGCTTCCTAGTGCACAGTCAAATTACTTGAAAAGTAGTCTGGTCGTAAGTTGGGTGGCTTACTGTTTGCACAGTGTAGCAGTGTGCCTGGTCTCTGATTCACCGTGCTAGATTTAGTAGCAGTAGTAGGCTTGGAGATGTTATGCCCTTTGTCCCTGTATCTGAATACAACAGGAGTTGTATTTGAGACTTCGCCCAGTTGTATTTGAGACTTCAAATCTTCGTCTTACTATAACTCTTGGGTTTTTCTCTATAAAACTGGCATGCTAGCTGTAATCCTATCCTCTGCTGGTGAGGCTGATGAATAGTAGGTTGATTTATTCTCTGTGATTTAAATGAAAGGACCAGAAGTACTGGGCTTTAATTGTGCGTGTCAGGAGGGGAAATTCTGGTTAGATCTGTAGAAGAGGGAAGAGCATGAGAACAGAAGTGAAGATAGTTTTCACACCTCAAAAGAGTTTAGGCTCAGAACTTAATTGCTGACAACCTGGGTCTGCAGCTATGTAAGTAATAGTGGTTCAGGAATTTTCCTCATTCTAATAATGCTGATTTCCTGTTTCCCTCTTTTGCAGACATTGCTCATAGAGGTTTAAACCATGTTTAATTGGCACTTCCAAGGTCCAGGTGCTATGTGTATATTATCTGTATGTTTGGATTTTAAATGATTTCCTTAAGGGCAAATCTGCCCACCCTCAGTAGCAGACAACCTGTATATGAAAGTTGTGATGTATTTCACATCCTGAAACACAGTGAATTCTTGAATCAGGGTCATCAAATCTGTTCCTGCCATGCACAAACTCTCTGTAACTGTCACATATGTTATTTACATGCAGTTTGTTGCTCCTTACCTGCTGTTCTGTTTTTCTGTGACCATGGAATACTTTCTAAAAATCTAGTGATTGCTTGAAGAGCTGTAATTAAATCAAAAAACCTTCTATGTAGAATTGTGAAAGCCCAGGTTAGGCGAATAAGGTATGTGGGCTCTTACTGTGATATGAAATCTAACATCTAGTAAACTAGCTACATTAGAATAGGATCTGGCACGGGGAACATAAGAGTAGAAGGGATTTCCAAATTGGTTTGTCAAATTGTTTCTCCTTCCCACTACTGCCTGCTGTCACCATACACATCCTCTTTGTGGACTTAGCAGGCTGTTTGAAATTAATTCCGGTTGGGTGTGCTCCATCACTAACCCTCCTTGTCCGGCAGGTAAGTCATAGTGGCAGAATGTTCCAGAAACTCACTTGTCTGAGTTTCCCCATCTGTAAACTAAAGACTGACGTCTTTCATAAACACCTGAGATGTACTGGTGAAAGTATTGTACAAGAGTAGATATTTTTGTTATAGCTGCAATGCTATATGAATGTTTTTATTATATGTGCTTATATATTTACAGGGTTTTTTTTTTTTTTTTTGCTCAGAAGAGCTAAAGTAGTAGGCTAATATCACTAGGTCTAATCCTCAAACAAGAGACAACTAAAACACATGCTTCAAAACAAGTATGTAGGTCTTCTTACTATCATCCATGGGGCTATTCACTCAGCACAGTAAGGGATCTGGCTATTTGAGCTTTCCTTTTAGCTCTTCCAAGTCCAACATTATTTTGTCTTGAAGTTTATTTTTATTTATCAAGAGTTTTGGCACATACTTTTTTGTGCACGTGTTCTATAATACAACATGTAGCCTCTAATTCCCTATAGAAGTCTCAAAGTGCAGAGCTCCAATGACATAATGTTTCTTTAGGAAAGAGCTATGGCATATGTGGCGTCTGTATCATGCAATATGAGTTTATTATGGAAAGCCTGAATATTTATGGGGTGCAGGAGTGTTAAGTGAGCTACATATATAAATAATTAAAAAATCAGACTTAAAACATTCCAGAGCTCAGAAGAGAATTGTTAAGTTAGAAATCACACCTCAACCTTTCTCTCTTTTTTTTTTTTCTTTTCTTTTTCTTTTTAACCGTTTCTTATTACAAGCAGCCTTTCAATTGCTTTAGTTGAAAGAAATAATAAAAAAATCCACTCTCAGGATTTTTTCGGCATGTTAGTTTCTCTTTTTGCCAGGATTTTTCTCCTTGCTGGTTTTACCTTTCCCCAGTGCTAATCATTTTCTCTCCTATTTGCATGAGCACTCCATGCAGCAAGAGGAGAAATGGGGTTTGATTCTGTGGTTTGTCTTTTTTAATGGGGAAATATCTTGTAAATTTCATCACCTTTACAAGCTCTAAATATTGGCTGGGGAATCTGAGGCAGCAAAATGTCCTGATTCCACTTAGAATGTGATTGTCTAAGGTTGCAAAGTAGGGAAGTGTGTGGGGGGAAAAAAAAAAAGTATTAAAGCATAGTATCATACTCAGATTTTTAGACCGCAATGGATTGATATAGACTTTTAGTCTGCTCTTCCCTGGAATGCAGGTAGTTTCTTGCATTTACACTTGCTTTTCTGCATATGAAACTCAAACCTTATGTTATACAATATAACAGTTATCAAAGCTGGCATATTGCTTTTTGTTCAACTGTGGTACTGTTGTATGTAATCTACTGCACAAAGAGTTGCAATTTTAAAGGATAACTACCTATGATTTTTAGTGGAAAGTGTTTCTTTGTCAGAAGCTTGTTTGCACTAGTTGCATTACATTAAGCATTACAGTGTAACGTAATGACTGACTGAAATTTTCTGACTGAACACTTAATAAATAATAGCCCAGTCCATATTCACCATTTTTATTGGATATCTTTTTGGTTTTGTTCATTGTGGGATTTTTGGGGTCTGGTTCCACCCACACACACACACACACACCCCCCGCACCCTCTCCACCCCCTCCCCAACCCCTTCCCCCCCAATCAGTGATCTCCAGTTTTGTTAACTGTTCATTTCATTTTACCACCAGATGGTTTTCTTACGGGAATGATCATCAGGGACATGTTCATCTGGTTGAACATGGCTAGCTATACCTCATTTGCAAGCCAAAGTGGTTACTCTTCAGTACACCAGACAAGGCTAGCAGAACTTTTCCTTCTTAGGATCTTTCATATGTTTCAAAGACTAGGAGCTGGGTCAGTAAAGTCAGTGAGAATCTTTGCAATGTGGGCTTTGACCTTAAGGGTCTGATACAGTGGTCATGAGTGAAATACAGACTATGACCATCTCTGAAACATCTGCCCGTTGAGTACTGACTCAGCTTGAATAGCCTGTGGGTATCTGGAATGGTTCTTAATACTTGGAGGAATTGCTTGTCTATTCCGAATGGCTTTTACCCTATGTCCACATAGGGCTGGTATCTCAGCTCTTCTGTACTGAGCCTGGCTCAACAGCACAGAGATGCTGTTGCTTTCTAGGTCAGCTTTTATGGGAGTTTTATATGAATTATGGAATAGTTTTGTGAGGCCGCAACTGTGATTACAGGTTTAATGATGCTTTAAACAAACAAAAATGTAATGACTTTCATCAGTGTAAAACAGGAGCTTCCTGCAGGGAAACACCAATAAATGTGACTTCGCAGCAGGGGTACAGACCTGGCTGGCAGCCAGCAGTAATCGGCACACCACATAGACCTTGTGTGTTAACTTAATTATAGCACAGTGCAAGCAGCAGCTAGACAGTTTGCTGTGAGGAATCACTGCCAGCGTGGCACAGAGTCCATGCATTTAAAAGTTACCCATCTGATCCATGGCTTTAGGTAGTGAGAGGTTGGAACCTTCACAGCCAGTTTAGCCTTGTGCTGTGACACACAGCTATCTCACCTTTGTCAGGGAAGCTTGGGTGGGCATGACAGTCTTTGAATGGCACTGGGGGCACTCTAACCTCTCCTGTATAATTAGCAAACAGCTTCTGGCTTCTCTGACACCTCTGATCCTCAAGAATTTATCAAAAGAACAGGTACTTCTGCTACTCTCTACAATGAAGTTAGTGGTTAGCCACTCTGATTTTTTTTTTTTTTTTCCTTCATGGCTGTGATGTAACTTTTGTAAGTTCCTGGGAAGGGTAAGAAGTCTTATTTTGACTTCAGAATCATGGTCAAGTAATCCTGTATCCTTCCTACACATTTGGCTGGCACATGGAATAGATATTTATGGTTTATTCGGATACAGTGATTTTTGGGATTCTGTTTCTTTCAGTAGTGATTAGGAGCATCATCCTGAGTCAGGTCCCAGTGTACTGTACCATTGACTTCAGGGAAAGAACAGTTGGTTTCCTGTCTGCAGAAAGGGGACATGGACCATTCCTTTCTTTGCACTTTCTGTTTTATGCAGCAAGGAGCAGGTGTGTCGTTACAGATCTTTACCTCAGTCAGGTTCTCTACAACAGACAATTGCCTTTTCATGCTACTTGCAGTGCTAACTAATGTAGCTCCAAAAGGTGGAGCCTTAAATTTTATTTGCTGTTTTCTTTCTTCCTCTGAGTAGTTACAGTAATGACCCTTGCTAAGATCATGAATATGTTTATCTTCATGGTGTAAGTGTGCAACGTGCTCTCAGATGATTGGCTCATCACTGTAGTCTCTGGAGAGGCATCAAACTCGCAGATACAGGCCATATTCCCTAATCATTCTTGTAAAACACAGAGCAACCAATTCCTATTTATGACTGTCACAGAAATTGCACCTGCAGAACCTTGTTGTAATGTGTTCTGATGTTTCTTCTAGGGATTTGTGTCATGTATGGAACGTTACAGAAGAATTGGGCAGGAGCTGTATGCCTCTTTGTACAAGAACCACATACAGGTAAGGAACAGGAATATTGTGCAACAGCTTTCAGTTGTTGAAAAGATGATCTTCTGCTCTGAGAAATCAGGTATTTCATTGGTGAGATGAGTAGTATGCCCAAAGAAATGCTGAGGGTTGATGAGTTCCTGACATCACCACTGAAGTGTGATATAGCGTCCGTCACAAATCACATTGCAGATCCTCACTTTATCTTCACTAATATTTTTTTCTTTTGTTTAAATGAATTGTTCTGCTCTCATAGTGGCAGAAATGAAAGTGAGAACTTTTTTCTTAGCAGCCAGTAAAACTTTTAAAGAGTTCTCAAGCTCATAGCCAGTAAAATCTCACAGATATGGTTCTGTTTCAGGATTGGCCATCAGAGACCAACAAACTTTTCATTCTTTGGAATTCCAACTTCCTCTCTCCTCTAAATTGATATTTTAGTACTCCCAACCCCCTGCACACACCTCCTAAATAGAAATAATTGAATTTATGCCACTCGGAGGGAGCACAGTACACTTCTGACTGAGACTTTGAGACTGTTTTCAGTGGGCATGGTTGTTTCCATTTAACACAAATATTTGCCAGGAAAACCTGAAGTGAGTAGAACCTCTGTGATGTTGTTCTCCTGGATCCCTGCTTTTGAGTTAGAAATCTAGTGAAAGTAGCCATTTTCAAGGAGGCTGAAATTTGTGTCATGCTTATACTTGTTATTGTATGGCTAGTAGCATCTCCCACAGCACACTTTCAGTAGGCTGACCTGTGTTTGCTGGGACTGCAGTGCTCCTTCTGCAGCGGTCCCATCTTGTAGGTTGGGTAGATCCCTCAGAATCACTGGCGTGGTGCAACTGCTGGATGGGAGAGGTGTGCAAAAGGTGACACAAAGTGGTTCTGTCACACAGATGCTGCAGTGTGGTTACAGCAAAGCAGCCAAGGACTGGATGGTACTTGAGGAGCAACTTTTCTACACAAGGGGCCCGTGGGGAGGTGCATCACGATCCTTAGAGCCACGATGGATTCTTGATTGTTATGAAGGGCCTTCACGAATGAGGAGGAGGATTCGGCATGTGAACACCCAAGCACCAATGATGCAAATGAAGAGTGAGGTAGAAAGCTTTTGTAGGAATTGCATAATTTGTGTAACTGTTGCTGGTGACTTCATACTCACCTCTTTCATCTGGTTATTGTTACCTGACTCACCAGTATGCTGTGCCATGCAGAGACAACCCACTGAATGGGTATGGTTTTGAGAGGGTAAGAGGGGCTGCAATGTTTTTGGTAACAACAGAATGATTTTTCCTCATTTCTGAGCTAAGATCTCACCAGACATATGAGAGCATAACCTGACCATACTTTTCTGCTTGTGATATCTCATGGATATAGTATTTCCCAGTGTATGCAACTGAGTCCAGTTAGAAGGCTGCACTGTCCTGTTATTCTTACACTTATTAGGGTTCCTAGAACTGGTGGATGATCAAAAGAGAAATTAGAGTGGTTTGAACGAAGCATTGAACTGTGTATGTGGAGTATTTACTACTGTCTGTCTCTATAGTGTCTAAGTGCCAAATCCTATAAACCAGAAGCATTTTAGTAAGTCAGGAGGTTCCCATCACTAGGCCATTTCCAGCTTTTATGTGAAGCTTGGATTCTGACAGTTTTCTGTAGGCTGGGTGGTATGATATTTCCTATAACTGGTCTCATAGAGGGTCTTCTTTGAAAAGACAATAGTCCTTTTGCTTAATTATTGACATTTGTTCCTACATTTAATTGTTCCTTTGGGTTCTTTCAAATGAGTGCATTTGAATGTCTAAGGCATTCATTTGCATTGTAGTTCTAAATCTGTGTTTATTCTCTGCAAAAAGATTCTGGGTTATGTTTACCTGTCTGCATGTTCCACTCCATTCATACTTAGTCTCTTTTCAGGTTCTCCTAGCAAACAGAAATGAAACAACCTCTACTGCTGAAGTGAATCCAGGTAACGTTTGCGGGCTAAATTAAATCAAGAGGGTCGACACAATCAGCCAAAGATAATTTGAGTCAGTGTATAGAGTTCCAGGTCAGAATTTCATCTAGTGAAAAAAAAGTTACTGTTGGCAGTCTGGGCTAAAAAGTCACTTGAATATCTGGGAAGACTGATGCAACTGCTGTAGGTGGTATGTAAGCTGTCTTCGGAATTTATTATTATCTTGTTGCTGCCAGAAAGGTCTGAAAGCAAAAAAGCTATCTTGAAATGAAAGCTTTGGGCATTCTTGGACTCCTGGAAAGCTCCCAACTGCTTAAACTCAGAAGGAGAAGTGCAGACTTTCCTCCTGCTTGTAGTAGACATTCCAATTCTACCTCTGAAATAATGTTTAAAGTCAGGTGATAGATGGCTCAGAGAAGTGGTAATAGGAATTGTAACTTTCCAAGAATGTGGACAAAATAATAGAGTGGAAGGAAATAATAAAAAAAATAACCTGTCCAGTTGGTTTTGAGTGTTAAAAATAGAACCAGATTTTTCAAAATAATATTGTTACATCACCATTTTTCAATTTCCAAGGCCAGATTTTCTGTTATGTGAGACATTAGAAGAATAGGGAATGGGGTGGGGAGTGGAGAAATATGGTACAGAAGTCAATAGCTTTTCAGAGAGAGGGGAAAACCTCCCACTGAGAAGGAACTATGGAATTGGAAATGTCAGCCAAATCTAAGGCTGTGGATTTCAGCCCCCTGTATGGCTGCTCCAAGTCAAGCTTCTAGTGTACACTGTTGGAAGCAGGCAGTGGTGTTGTTCTAGGGCCTAGAAATCAAGTGACAGTGGAGCTCATTGTTCTAGACTCCAAAGAAGATTAAAGTACTACTTGGTTTCGGAATGAAACTGGTTACAGTCTACCTCAATAAGAAGGCTGACCACGCTTTCCCTAATTGCATGCACTGTGTGAATTTTAAAAACCTGGGACACAGCTTGAGCAAGATGAGAGTGGATTGTCTTTCTGTGGGTGCTCTTAAGACCCTGCTCAGTCCCCAAAAGACTACCATTTTCAGTTTTTCCTAATTTAATCTGAGTAGGTGAAGAGATTTCATTTTTTTATATTGTTTGATTATCAGATGACTAGCCCAACTCAGTGCAGAAATTAGAATAAATACATATGTTCAATATGTTTAAATCTTCAGTGTTTATAGGAATTTAGTGTAAATTGTGACTGGTGCAGCCACCTGGTTTTAGTTCCCTGAACTAAGCATCCTTCTTTATCAGTCACAGATTTTACTTATCTCTTGCCTGTTTTTTGCAGATAAATAATGCTGCTTCCCAAGGTAGAACAGATTGGGTAAAAGCCTAAATTGAAAATGCTTTTGGTGTCATCCATCTGCCACTAAAACTGCAATCTTTTATACTGATACAGGAGAACTGACGTTAAATGGAGCAGAAAGGGAGATGGATAAGAAGGAATCGGATTGTAACCAGCTAACATTCTTCCCTGCTCTTCATGAAAGTTTCCACTCAGAAGACTTCTTGGAACTGTGTGTGGAGAGACAAATTATACTGCAGGAGTTTGCAGAAGGTGAAAAGGTAGGAAAGGTGAACCAGAAAATTTTCTCTGCAGAGATGGCATTTTAGAGGGTGAATTGGACGTGGAGGCCTATCTGTTCCTTTCAGTTTGGGGTTCAGGTGGATTCAGGCTACAGTAAACATCACCATTATCTGTTCCTTAGAGCAATTACAGTTTTCCAGCCTCTGTATAAGGACAGAGGCTCTGACACTTTCTGCAGTGTCTGGATTGAAGTTACCTCTGGAACAGTGTGCCAATTTCATATAGGTTGCTAGTTCAGTGATGTTTAAATCTCTTCCTGCTGGACACCAGAAAACGTTTTCTTCATCCTTTCACATGCCTTTTTTTTTTTCTCTTCTCTGCCTCCCCATGAGTACTGGAAACATTCTTCCCTCTAAAGGCATAAAGACTTTCCCTGCTTCCTGTTTGATGCTTCCATCATGTGTTATCTAGTCAAAACAGTGGTCTTCCTTCTTTGTTCTTGCACTGGACTGGATGCCCTTTTGCCAGTTTCTTCCTAGCATAAGAAAGAGGCAGGTTCAGGAACACTGAGCTGTGGAGTAAATAGGGGTGACTCTGTAAGGGGGGCAGTAACTTTGGTCTGGTGTTCTCAATTCCATCCCTTTGCTCAAAAGCCAACAACCTGCCCTTTGCTTTCAGCATAGTCCCCACAACTGTGACTCCAAATCAAATCCTTGGTGTTGGATAAGCAGTGTACATAGCCATTTTCTGCAGGACTGGAAGAGGTTTTGTCGTGAGGAATAGATCTGGTCTCATTCTCTGATATTTTGCAGTGTACCTGTTTCTTCCAGTGGCATCATTCCCGCTGTTGGCCCAAGGGTTATCATCCCATAGTGGAAGCCAAGTGTCAGACTTGGAGTATTTCAATGCAGCCATCATAGTGCTGTGATAGTTGTACATAGATACAGAAATAACTATTTTATTTTCATGTCTCAATACCATTGCCAAATTTTCTTGAGGCTTTGCAAGTGGCCAAGGGTCACATTTGTGCTCTCTAATATGATAGCTTCCTTATGCTATTAGAGTTGTTGGTACATTGTATGTCTGTACAACATAATTCATTTCCTTGCCCCTCCTCCTCCTGCCCCCCCTCCCACCCATACCTCTCCCCAGCAGAAGGGCACAAGCATGAAAATGTGAGGCATGTTTTCCATGTGCTGATCTCATTTTGAGCCTTCAGGCTGTCTGTCTCTTCTCCATGTAACTCTGTAGGAAGCCATCAGAAATGCCAGGCATGGTTTTTTCCAGACGCAGTCGCTGTGTTGCAGAGCTGACAGAAGTATTAAAAAAAGCAGTAGGGGGTGACATTAACTGTCCTGTGCTCACTTAGTGCGCTGCGGTCCTGCCTTGTAAATGGCTGCCTCCTGAGCTGTTTGCGCTTTAAGCAGGCAACTGGAACCATCTTACCTACTGCATTGCACAGAAAAGTCATTGCAATGCTTTGGCAGATATTACAGATTTATTTCTGGAACACAGGGATAGCCCTTCTCTGGAAAGTAGTCATTGTTTTATAATGTCACACGTTGCTATTTTTTTGCATCGCCATTAAACTGACACCTTTGTATGTATTCAGATATGTCAGATGGCTTTTTGCAGAAGCAGCAGAGCAAATGCTGTTGACACTGTCCGTTGGTTATGTCTGTTCTCAGCAAGTTCAATCAGGAGAATATAAGTGCAGGTGGGGTATTGTCCATTTTTTTTATTGCTAATATCATCGAGTCTTTTGTTTTATCTTGTTTGCAAAATAGACTAG